CCGCCAATTGCTGATTCCGATGAAGGAGACCAACTGCTGGAAAACGTCTGATACGAACGATATGGTAGTCCTGTCGTTTGTCGAAAAAAACAGGTTGGCTCAGCGCCAAGCGCGATCGCGGACACGCCCCATCATCCGCAGCGAACCAGAGTATGAGTTGTACTGTTTAGTCACTTACGAGATGATGTCGACTTTTTATATTTCCAGTTATTTCAGATTAGTTTGATGAATGAAAGTGTACTATTTTTTTACATATCCGAGTTCTCGAGGCGGAGGTGGTGTAGTGACAAGTGGCGCGCTTACCACTCGCGCGGCGCCGGGTTCGAATCCCGGGTCGACTCCCGCCCAGGCCAACCAAGCCTTCTACCCTCCGGGGACGGTAAATTGGTACCAGATTCGTCTGGGAGGATAAAACACTGACTTGTACATCGGCTGGCCACCGCAAGTCATTGTATAGGCCACATCGCATTCAATAAGCCACTACGATTCTGAATGGAAGTGGAATGCGTGCCGCATAAGCAATTCGAATCAGCACACTTTTGCCAATGTGACAGCAGTCGAGAAATCCCATCAAAGAAAAAACTGGGTGGTCGAGAATCCACGAAATCTACGAAGGTCTTTTTTGCCTGGTCCTAATTGATGAAGTATTTTTCAGCAAGGAAGTTCTGAAAATGTTTGAAAAGGTGATAGTCGGTTGGTGAAAGGTCTGGAGAATATGGTGGGTGAGGTAGAACTTCAACCCCCGTTCAATTTATGGATAGTGATTTGTGAAACGTGTGGGCGGGCGTTGTCATGCAAAAGAATCGGACCCTTTCTTTTGATAAGTGTTGGCTGCATCTGACAAAATTTTCGGTACAATTCGTCGATTTCTTCAGTAGGGTTCTGCTGTGATGGTTTGGCCTGGTGATAAAAAGTTATAGTGGATCACACCAGCCGATGACCACCAAGCCGTGACCAGAATCTTTTTTTCGTGAGGGTTCGGCTTTGAAAATTACCTCGGTGGTTCGTCGAAATCCAACCACTGTCCGGAACGTCTCCTGTTATCATACATGACCCATTTTTCATCACAGGTGACAATTCGGAAAAACAGGTCGTTTCTGCTGCGCAAAAGCAATGCAGAAGGAACCTCGAGACGTGCCGATTCCTGCCGGTCACTCCGATTGTGGGGCACCCAATTGTCGAGTTTTTTCACCTTCCAGACCATCTGCAACAGTGGATTTGCCAAGGCCTAGCTCTTCTGCTATCTCTCGAACTGTTTGGGATGGGTCAGCCTCCAAAATCCCCCTAAAATCCTCGTCAGATCGACCGCTGAGGTTCATCTTCAAGGCTGAAATCTCCAGAACGAAATTTGTTGAGCCATTGCCGCACAGTGCTTTCTCTAGCACTATTGGGCCCCCACACCTGGTTAATTTGTTGAGCTGTTTCGATTGCGGATTGCCCCAATTTATAGTCGAAGAAAAAAATCGTCCGAAGTGCTCTTTTCACATGCTTGAAAAAATCTTAAAAAAAGGGGTTCATCAAGCAATGGTGAAACGGCAGTTATACCATCAGATAGCGCAAAGAATTCTCTTCAGGATGTACTACTGAGACGCAAGGGAGAATGAGTTTTTAATCAGCAATGAATGTGCAAAAAAATAGTAACACAAAACTTGCAGAACTTTCCGGACAACCTAATATAATAAGTTTGTTTGTAAGTTTGTAAGTTTGCTTGTCTGTCCGGTTTGTCTGTTCGGCCTGAAGAACGACTTGGAGAGGTCGGGTCAAGGTGGGGATAGGGCATGGGACAAGAAATAAAAAGCACACTTGACCTATGGGAAGCCCCGCCCACAGTGGGCGGGGCACTCGCCGAAAGTTTGGGGTTCCGCAGAAAAATGTTCATAATTCGCTTCCGGAGCAGCTTAAAGATGGGGAAAAGGGAATAAGGTTAGTAAGGAGTCGCCAGACTAACTGTGGCAGACACATCCAAAATGGGCGGGGCGTACTCAAGGTGGGCGGTGCTTCTCGCAAAATTCAGTAACCCGGTTCGCGAGAGTGTTTGGAAGTCGCAAAAAACTCAGTGTAGAATGTAAATATCTGGCGAATATAGGGCACGCTCAAAGTGTGTTGAGACCCGCCCACAGTGGGCGGAGCTTGCCCTAAATCGCAGGGTATTCATTTTAAAAGTTTGTAGCTCGGTTCCAGAACACTCCAGACACCGGAAAAAAGTGGACTTAAGGTCAGCAGAGGGTCGCCGGTGAAGATTGTGGGGCACAAAAATTGTGGGCGGGGTCTGCTCTGAGGTGGGCGGAGTCAGACGAAAAATCTGTAAAATAGCTCAAGAGCACTTCAGACACCGGAAAAAAGTGAATTCAGGTCAGCAAGGGGTCGCCGATTGAGAAATGTGGGGTATACATATTGTGGGCGGGGCCAGCCCGAGGTGGGCGGAGCCAGACGAAAATTCTCTAAAACTGTCCCAGAGCACTTCAAAGACCGGAAAAAACGTGGATTAAGGTCAGCAGAGGGTCGCCGGTGAGGATTGTGGGGCACAAACATTGTGGGCGGGCCTGCTCCGAGGTGGGCGGAGTCAGACGAAGAATCTGTAAAATAGCTCAGAGTACTTCAGACACCGGAAAAAAGTGGAGTACAGAACAAAAGGCGGATATCAGTTGAGTCTAGAAATATGTGAAAGAAAATACGCGCGGCGAAGCCGCGCCCGGCGCAGCCGGGCCGTATCAGAAGGAGGCGCGCCGGCGTTAGCCGGCGAGCCGACTGGTATCTAAGTAGGTTACTCGGATCGTTTGGTATCGCTTTACTCAACTGCAATTCTAATCACCACATTGTAAGGACTGCTGTTGGTTCAAACAAATTTTTATACGAAATGCCCACAAGTGTTGAAAGTGCAACAAAACCGAACTGTTGAAGAGCTTTAAAGCGCCTTTAAAGCAGCAGTCTAAATGAGAAAGTCACAGAACAACTGAATGCTTCATAAGTTAAAAAATGGCAAAATTTCTCGCCGTTGATCACTGCCCTTTGGGATGTGCACGCATACCTACTACTTCCACTCGTATCGTAGTGGCTTATTGGCTTATACAAAGAATTACGGGGCCAGCCAATGTACAAGTCAGTGTTTTTATCCTCCCAGACAAATCTGGGGCCAATTTACGTGCCACTTGCCATTAGGTCACCCAGGTTCCTCACTCGTACTGAAAGCAGACCTCCGCATCACTCCAATGATCTCCCCGACTGGTGAAAACCCTGTCGCGGTTCGCGACAACGTGGCCGGGGTCCCGTGCGCCTGGGCTCTGGCGCGCTACACGGGCAAAGCCGCGACGCGACCGCCGAAGGCCGCGCCGCCGCCCCGCCCCCAGTGGAGCCCTTATAAGGGCTGCTGCGAGCCAGTCGGTGTGCTTCTCTCCCTCCGGGAGGAGAGATCCACCGGGCACCCGCTCTGCCGCCATGATGCCGGACGGTTCTGCAGGGTGCTTGCACTCTGTACAGCAGTGTGGTCGGGCACACTGCTCCGTCTGGCGGAGCTCTGGCTCAGGCCCGTGCCTGCTATGACCCGAAGGCACGGCCGGCTGCGGGTTGCAGCTTGTAGCCGCAGAGCGCCCTTTACCGCTAGGATTACCGCTGGGACAGATGGAGATGGATGGTCAGTCCAGCTACGGCAGGATGTAAGGACAGTTGGAAGATGGTTACCGCAGAACACGTGAGTTAATAAATATGGTGTTTATATGTTTTGTTATGTTGCAATAGGTGGGAGTTGGGAGCGACCGGGCAGGTGGGCCCGTAAGGTGCTGGTAAGGCAGGGAAGGTACAGGTTGGGTTAAGGTATATTTATTATTGGTCATATTTCTATTGGTATTTTGTGTGGTTGGTTATTGCATGCCGTAGGGGGTTAACGTTAACAGGCATGCTGTCAGACCGGTTACGGCAGGCTGCGACAGTGGGAGGGCCGGCCGACCTGGGGGTCCAGGACGGACATGAGGGAGGTCGGACCCCCACGGGGACATGCCTGGTCATGGGCTGCCGTCCCCTGCAGCCTGTCACGGGCGTAGACCCGGGTGGTCCCTCGGGGAACCGAGACTATATCGTGCGGGAAAGCGATATGGCCCCCGGGGAACTGTGAGACTGAGGTGGGCTAATGGTGGGTGAGCGGATTCCGATACACTGATGCTCGTCGTGGGAGAGGACTAGTAGGGCGGTCTCTCTCTGAACTGCGACAAACCCTGTGTGGCTGGATGAGCTCACCGAGAGAGTTGCCACGCTCCTTGTTCAGATCAAAGGCAAAGCCCACAATCAGTCTCAACTCTCTCTGCTCATCGTAGGGAGTGGTAGTGTGGACTGCAACGAACAATCCTGTAGAGTTTCACGTCAGAAAGTTGTCAGGTAGCGGCGGTAGAGCTGCTACCTGGCCACTTCACTTCACTTCGTTGCTCGAGTGACTCCGCCCGAGTTGATAGGTCTCTTACTTCACTCTCTCCTTGGTTTGCATGCTGTCATGCTGTTTTCTCTACTCCTCTCTCCCAGTATCCACACTGATTGTTTGTCTTTCGCTCGGCCTTATTTGGAGCCTTCTCGAAGGTTTTCTTTGGTTCTTCCTTCACGAGCGAGTCAGTTAGCACACACATTCGGTTTCTAAACCCGCTATCTGCAAAATTTTCATTGGCTCATTGGCCTTTAAGTCACCTCTTCTAAAGGTCGACGAATTACCCATCGTCTCCTCCCCCTCCCCTTTCCTCCTCCCGGCTCCCCCCGCCCAACTGCGCACCTCATGCATCCTGTGCCAATGCCACTATACGACCCAGATCAAACGCTACCACGATCTGGGAGGAATTTTTCGAGAAGAATTTGATCAACGCCGCACAATTATTAGGTTTTACTTAATCCTTTTCACAATACATTGCACTGAATCACATTACACTTTTATATCCTTTATTTGAATATCATGGGTAGTTGTTTTTCGATTTTCCATGAGTAGAGGCATCCATCAATCAATTCACACACTTTTTTCTTTGCAGGATGCAGTCATCGTTCGATTGTATGCAAAGGAGTGCTACATAGTAAGTGCCTTCAGTTTTATAAAAGGTATCGTAGAGAAAAGATCAAATGTGGGAGATCGTGAAGTTGAGGTAGCTGGAGAAGGCGCGGCAATCAGGCCAGGTCTCAGGCTCTAGGATTTAGGCGGGGGGGTCGTATCTAGCGTGGGTTTTGTTGTTGATTTTACCTCTATCCACAACTGTTTTGTTATGATAACTGCTGTTTAACGCCGCAGTTCGCGTTCCGAGTGTTATCACAAGAATGCTGAGTTATGGGCAAAAGTCTTACTCCATGGCGGGAGTGGACCCGCTCCTCACGCTTTCGGGGCGAGTGTGCATCCACAGCGATGGGAGTCTCCCATTTGGGGGGGGGCATATTTCGCGAAGTTTCCACAGCGGCAGGAACTGCCCTGCCGGCAGTCACCTCTGGGTCCGCGAATCAAGTTTTGCCAGATTTATTTGAATTCTGATATCACAAGTTCCTCTAGTTGGTGAGAACCAGCCATTGTCCGTCCTCCTAGTGAACCCTTTGTTCCCTCGACAAACCGTATTTCTGGCATGCCAAAGGCGATATGCTCATTATATTTTTGAATAGTGATGGCTAGGAGCGACCGTTTGAGAACTGCTAATATTTTACAGCTTGCCATACTTACAACCGATAATATCGGCAGATAGAAATGATTTCTGAAAGATGATTGTGGAGGGCCATCAGAAATGTTGGTGTCTGTATTTGGCCCGACCCTGATGTTGAAAGAAAAATTGAGTTTGTCACTAGGAGCACCTACGTAGGAGTAATCAAGCTTAAACGGTAGCTTTCTCACAGGTTGCACGTTTGGTTCTATTATCATTCATTGTTGGCCATCAGTTTCAAGTAAAGGCAAGAGCAGCGGAGAGGTTTTGCAGGCCTCGCGTGCATCGCATTCGCATCAGGACCTACACGGTTCAGTGGGTTCAGTATGGCACTGCTACAAAGCGTCCAGACAACCAGCTCGGAAACACTACTACTGCGTGCGCGTCCCCGTGGAAGTGGCGACCAGCGGCGATCGCAGAGCGCGCCGCAACTCTATTACTTGGACTGCTTGCTTGATAAAGAAGGAAATCCGACGCGTGAGACACTTAGTGGCCGGCCAATGTAAAAAATTAATCATTGTTAGAGAGCGCTTCGGGTGGAGTTTTTCGACCTCCTGACGCCGCTCGGAATCGCGACTATATCAACCGTAAATCATGTGGGACAATACCTAACTGCAGATTATAAAGCCTTGTACATAATTTTGCTTACATGCATATCTTTACTAATATTTCATCTCAAGAAGAGCGCACTAACTATATATTCCGATTCTTATGTGCTTCAACTATGCAGTGGTCAGATGGCGAAATGTTATGGTGCGAAGGGAGGTGGTTTCAGCTCTCCTTGTTTCCCAAGATCCACTAAGAAGAACTTTGTATAATTGAATTCATGTGAACCTCTTTTATTCTGCATATCAAAATTAATTAGGAGTACATCCTAATTTAAAAGAAGAGCTCGTGACCGCAGATGGTAGGTAATGGAGTTCACATGCAAGACAAAAGTGTTAGGTAACCGATCACTGGAGGGAGAAGGGGAAGAAACCAAAACGCCCTTTGTAAGACTCTATGCCGACCTCAACTTCTAAGTGCATGCAGTTAAGAGAAGGCATAGTTACGAATTTCTACTCGTTGTTATCATTGCTATATCGGCTCATTTATCTTATCACCGCACTCTCACCATTCGGAGTGAAGATAGCATAGTGGTCTTGAAGGTCCTATTGCCCAGTCAGTGGAACAGGTCCTCTCCAACTCCAGCATGCAATAGATACTGTAGTGCGCTGGTCCTCCTATGCCCCCTTTAAATATCAGTAATACCAAAGTCTTTCATTTAGGACAATCTAATCCACGCGCGCAGTACCTAATTGATAGCTTTATCCTAGATACGACAAATCAATAAAGGACTTGGGCTTTCTTGTCGATTCAGAATTGAATTTTGAGGAGCACTTGAAAAATGTAGAGAGTAAGGTGGAACAGAGAGTGTTTTTGCTACTTAGATCATTCAAGTCTCAGGATCCGCGTTGCTCATGAACGCCGATAAAATTTATGTGTGTTCAATTCTCGAGTACGGCACGAGTGTCTACTTTCCGCATAACAAGGAATTCATTGACAAATTGGAGAGAATACAGAATGGCTTCACTGGAAACTATTCATCAGAGTCTTGGGATCCATATATGCGAGCATTCCCCGCCCTTAATTTAGATCCTCCTCACTTGGAATGAGAAGGAACGACAGTCCTCGTGTTAATTAATATCTAGATAAGCGTGCTGAGTTGCACTTCAAACTCCTCTTGAGTTGGTTCCGTCCAGAAGTAGAGGAAAACGATTTAAACTTTCATTTCGGCAACTTCGTTCTCTGTTAGGACAAAAATTCTTTACGTTTCGTGCAGGAACTTAGTGAGGCAAGAGTATTCCAATACCGGTCACTTTCAACGGATTCAAAAAATTCTTTTTTCTGTAGCTGCACAGGGGTTTCGCGTTTTCTAATGGCTCCAGATTTTTATTTTTATTCTTTGTTTGCTCGTTGTTCGTTTCATTATTGGTTTGTTGATCAGTTTACATGCTGCAAAACATGTAATAAAGTTGAAAGTTGAAGTAGTGGCTTCTAGCAGCTAGTTGGAGTCGGCATGGGCCTAAGGGGTGCTATGGGCCTAAATGCTCAGCCTCCACTGAAATTCTTGCAATTTTCCACTTTTTTTAGTGTAGTGTGTGTTTTTAGTGCTTAGTGTGTTTTTAGTGTTTTTTTTAATCTACTATTGTCCACTGGATCTTTAAAAAATTTCAGATTGGTTTATCACGTAATGTGTCTTTAAGCTCACCTCCTCGAGAGTTCCTAAGCTCAGGAGTGATGAACTATAAACAAAAAAATAAACAAGTGCATGAACTTTCAGCCGTAACGTTGCCTTTTGTATTTCTCTTGAAAAGCTGCTTACACTGCATTTTCTTCAATGAACTGAATATACACTCGAAATCCCTGAGATGAGGTAGGCTGGCTGCATACTTCAACTGAACGCAGCGGTCGTTGTGCTTTTGGCGAGATATTTTCATTTTTGGACAACTGTGGTCTTGTCTTTGTCCAACAGAACAGGATAATAGTTGTCCCAAACGAACAAGATGTTGTCTTGGGCTAAAATATCCCACGAGAAACTCGCCCCTGTGCTATGTACCAGTGCTATGCCTACCCCGTCCTCGGGGATCAGGATTATACAATGTCAGCTTGTATTTTAGTGATTTCCTGTTCAAGCTGCTAGTGATTGGTGAGTCGTCAGTAGGCAAGTCGTCGCTTTTACTGCGGTTCACTGAAAACGTCTTCAACCAGTCATATTCCAGTACTATAGGGGTTGATTTTGTGAGTTCTAGAGCTGTTTTCGTTATCAGTGTCATAAATACCTATAATAAGGGATTGTAGAGAGCTCCAAAATCACATTCATCGGACGGTCACTTTGGTATGGGTGCGACATGAGCGAAGATGTGTGATATACAGGGGGGGGGCAAAAAAAAGTCAGTCACTTCGACCGAGTCACATATCAGCAATGTTTTCGCAGCCCAGAGAGAGGGCGTGGATACGACTACCAGGGCGGAAGATACTCCAAATGTTCCTCGATAAGCAGGAACCGGCTCTCGCCCAATTTCATGTACACCAAAATATGAAGCCATATCCAGCCAGTCGCAGCCTGATTGAACGCGTTTGGAATTCACGTCACCTCCAAACAGCTGCGAAACTTGTTGGATGGAGTCACCCATGGACAGCTGCCTGGTGACCAGTACTCTTGATCTGGGAGACCTCCAACATCGAGCAGCTCCGACAACTTCGCTACGGTCCAGGACATCATTCACCGCAGTCGCCACGCGGGTTGGTGGTATGGACCGGAAGACCCTAGAATGTGAAGACCGATATTTTCTTCGTGGATCCCGGACTGAAAGTGAAGCTGACGGTTACATCGACCAACTCGTGGAGAATATCCTGCCTTTATGTCATCTCCTGTACCACCGGGGAACTTCGTACTGCTACAGGATCGGGTGCCAGCGCATGGAATCAA